GTTATTCGAGCAATAAACCAGCGTGAGGGTTTTAAAGCGATGAATGCGAAAGCCGTTGTTTTACCGAAACGCGATTGAATTACAAAACTGAAACTAGTATCTAACGATGATTGGCAAAGAAAGGTTTGAATTTTTCTACGTTAGAGAATTTTTCTGGCGTAAGAGAAAACCTAGATAAGACAACATTTAGCTTCTCTTCTTTCTCGGATCCTTTGTAGTTCGCTTCTTTTTGTTGAAGACCTCTTTTTAGTCCGTTTTCTGGAGCTCTTTGTATTTTCTTCTTACGTTGCTCTTCGCCAGATATTCGCCTTTTAACTTATGCCTTTTCTTGTTCTCTTTCGCGTTCCTCTCGCCGTATTCTGCCTATTTTGGCGTCCTTTATAATTTTCTTGCACGTTTTTCTCAACGCGCTTCTACTTCTTTTATTTCTTTGGTCGCTCTGTCTCTTTCTTTCCAGAATTTTCTTTATTTTCACTCAAAACCCTTTCTCCGCGAATTGAATATAGCAATTTCCTCCGGCTGACAAAGCATTAGCTCTGTCGGTATTGTTGCTTTGCGAGTAGTCCCTTTCGATAAAGTGCAACTCATTCTTGATATCAAATTCTTTACCTTCTTTGTTGATGAAAGAGTCAACAATGACATCTTTGCTGAAGCTAATGTACTTTTCCTCATTATTGGGAATACATTTGATGTTTCCTTGAGTTTTACCGAGATTGTTAACAAACAGATGAGAGTCATGAGCATCCAACTTGTGAAAGATGGCAGAAGTGAAATTTCGGCCTCTTTTTGTAGGTTGCATATGTAGTGAGCTGCTCCACAATATTTTCCTGTGAAATGGCAGTGGTCTCTCACTTTGTCTTTATTAAATGAACCCTAGCAGATCCAGCAGTGCGCAGCGCTATTAAACTCACGCCTATCTATCTGTATCTATGAAGATCGTATCTTATGCAAAGTCGAGTTCCTTATAAATCTTCTGGATGTTTTTTTCAAGTTTTTCAGCGAAGATCTGAGCAAGATCTTAATCCTCACTTTTTCGCTCTATAGATGACTGGCTCTTGTTCGTCTGCCGCTCCGCGACCTGCCCCTGCGGAGCCTGGCCAAAGGCTTAACCAAAGGTCTTCATTATCTCTCACCATCTCACACGATAAAATCATCTTTATCTTCATTTGACGATTCTCTCTAATTATCCTCAAGACTTTTGGTTTGACTTTTTCCATGAACTCTCTATTCAATACCTACAATTCCTTCAATTCTATATCGCCTTGTAAAACCTCTCAACGTCCAACGCTTTATTAGCAGAGTATTTCGTTCTTCTTCTTATAATTTTTAAGTTGCGGTTGACTTCTCTGAGCGTCTTATTTAATCCTTTGATCTTACTTTCATTTTCTTTTGGAGTTAAAAGAATTAGTCTTTCAATCTTTTTCGTTCTCGGCGGAGGAATTGGTTTTTGAACATTCAAAGCTGTACCATTAATGTTTTTCGTTTTTTGTTTTTTTGCTGCCGCTCTTAGGAGGTTCTTTGAAGTGAACTGTGTAATCATTGGAATCTGCAATAATTGTCGACACAACCTCTTTGATTATAAACGCAAGAAAAAGTTTTGCGTAATAAAGCTAAGACAAAAGCCTAGAACGACTTCAAAGCAAGATATACAAATGAAGACTTGAGTAAGTTCAGTGCGCAAGTGCTGAAGTTTACCTCAGTCGATCAGATGGAGTTCAGTCGAGCGTCTCAGGATCAGACAGAAGATATTGGGATGATGACATGAAGAAGGCACTTAGAATTGGAGGTTTGAAAGTTTGAACTTGAACTCACTCTGAATCGATGAGGAAAGAAAGAGGTGGCAGCAGTTTCATTGAACAAGAATCCTGTGAGCCGCTTAAATGAGGAGATTAAGGTACATTATCCTAATACTTCGATGCAAAATTCAGAGGAATATCCACAAGAACGAAAAATTTAGCCCTCTTCAGGCGCAGAATCAGAGATGGCTTGCGGGGCCAAATATGAGCAGTATGATGCACAACAACAGGCTGTGGAATCTCTTGTGAAGAGTAAATTAGCTCTTCCAGGAGACCCAGCGTTCAATCAGACAAATAATAATTATGAAACCCCTTCGTTCAAACAAATATGCGCAGAATTTGGAATTTCATCAAGTACAGACTTCTGCTTCAAAGGTTACAATCACGATCTTGGTTTCTGTTTTCATTCATGTGACAAATCTTGGACGGTCGGGAACTTCAAACTCTTATCTTGATAATAACAAGTTTAGCTATGAGCTTGGAAAAGCCATCTAAGGAAATCTGATTTATTTCATAATGAATGATAAAGTGAAAGTTAAAAAAGTTTGACTTTTTCATAGCAGACAAGTCAGAGGGCTTGACGCAAGCTGGGATGGCGAGACTGAATCAGTCAATTGAGGCATTCGTTTACTGCATTCTTGGTTCTCAAGTCAATGTTAGATCAAGAGAGATAGGAAAATGACAGTTCCGAGACAATGCAAAACCAAGGATAAAAAAGTTTTTTGGGTCAAGCACGGACCACTTTTTATCCTTGGTTTTGTATTGTCCCAGAACTCTAATTTTACAACTACGACTGAGACAAGCGCGGAAATGTCATATAACAATTATGATATAATAACTTGTCAATCTTTAGTATCAGAACGAATTTAGAAAATTTCAAACATTTGACAGGATCAGCGTCAATGTTGTATCTTCACGCAAAGAACTCGTGATATGCCTTGATTTGTTCTTCTGTTAAAACACTGTTTTCTCAAATGAGAAGAGTATGACAGTTTCATTATGAGTTCACGCTTTTAAGCTCATGGTTCATGATGATGAGCTGAGCATCAGGGAGGATTTTCCTGGACTCCCTTCTTTCGTATCCACCAATCTCAATCCACTTCCATGAGGATCATTGTCTCTCATACTCTTGAGATCGATGAATAGAGAGAATCTGTCTCCGGCATAAAATTCTGTTGCCTTGATCGCACTGTTTTCCTTACCAAATCTTCTGAAGACCTCTTCCCACATATCTCTTGTCTTCATTCCTTGGCTGTAAATCTTATCTGGGATTCCATCGACAACCACCTTCATTTCAGTGATGTCAGGATTGAGTGTAGAATCGGAGTTTGGATTTGATACTATGTTGCTAACAGAAAGGCTGGACGTGTGGCTGCCGACGCTCACGTTCTTTTGGGAGACGAAAATATACCATATTCTATTGCCAATACGAAGCGAAGTCTGTTTAAAATTCCTTTAGAATTCAAATGTTTTAATATATTGATAGCAGACCAAGGTAATGCATGTGTGCTATTATTATTTTGGTAATGGTGTTTTGTACAACTTAATTCCTCAAGTATCTGTGTGCCGGTTCAGGGTTGAATACCCGTCAAGAATACAATTTCCTAGTCCTAGAGAAAGCATTCCTTTGTCTCTAAAACATACCTACAAAGTCGAAGCTAACCGATATGTAATTACGTTATTACTTGTAATAAGTAATAGGGAGCTCTGCGAACACAATTTTTTTGATAATATCACGCGAAAGAGAACCTTAGAATATTGGTTGAGTTATGATTATTTTCCATATTCTCATTGGTAAGGATTACTGAGATAGTGAATGATCACATGCGATGTAATGGAGGAACTTACAATCGATTCCATTAGTTTACCAGGAACACTGAATAATGAAATAGGGTGGTAGTTGCATTTGTCGGTCTCATCGTCTTTTTCTTTTTTGTACATGGATACAACATCAGCTGTTTTCCACATGGTAGGAACTAGGAACAACGTTGCGGTAAGCGCTTACTTTAAACACAGACAGCAACGAAGGAATAATAGCTGTATTGGCCAGCTTGAACAATTTTGGTGGGACTTCATCAGGACTACAAGAAGTATTGGACTTTAATTTTGCTAAGGCATGAGTAATGTTTTCTGCGGTGAGGCTAATACTCGAAATTGTGGATGTAATAGTGCGGGTCTGATTGGAGCGCCATCATGATAAAGTGGTGGCCATTCATGGGAAATTTGTCCGCCTATCGTAAAGAAGTGGTCATTTAGGAGGTCGGCTTTTTTAAAATCAGAGATTGCCAGAAACTTGTCCTCTTTCCTGGTGTTATTGATATGTGAACTGATGCACGCCTCAATGGCATTCTTGATGGAATTGGTATCCTTTACCTCATCAAAAAGATTCTTGTAGTTATTACATCTAGCAATTCTAACCTCGTGTGTCTTGATTCCTTAGCACCCTGTATTTTGTCCACAACTTCTAATCATTGGAGTCTCGTGCTTTCAGCAGAGTTTTAAATCTGATGTTAATCTGCAGTGATTCAAGGAAACGATTGTTGTCTTAGTTTTACTTCCCGGAAAGGAGCGTTCTTGACACAGGTTCACTCAACACATTTTGTCATGTCCAGCATCAGGGTCATCAAACACGGAACAAACTGACCAAGAAGCAGTCTCGAGGTCGTGCGTGAACGTAGATCGGTCGAAATGACTGTAGCTTCGAACAGAGTGAATGACAAAGGGCTAACGCTGGAAACGTCAGTTTTGAAATTCTTTACGGCGGGTGGCTATTTCACATTATCTTTAAAGACATTTCACCATGCCTAGCATTCCGGTCATCAAACAGTGATGTCATGTCCAGCATCAGGGTCATCAAACACGGAACAAATTGAACAGGGAGCAGTCTCGAAGTCGTGCGTGAACGTAGATTAGTCGAAATTTCTGTAGCTTCGAACAGAACGAATGACAAAGGGCTAATGCTCAAAACGACAGTTTTAAAATTCGTTATGGTGGCTAATTTGCATTATAAACTCCGTTTATAAAAACCAAATTATCTTGTTATACTCCCCCACCGACGCAGCACCGCAGGCTCTTTAGAAACTTACCCTTTTGTTTATTTGTTTTAGAGAAAGTTTATTTCCGAATGGCCTTTTCCCGCTTATTACGTGAATCGAGTTCTTCACCAGGACACAACCAGGTTTATAGCAGTTTTAAACACAAAGAAGAGTTAATTTATTTGAACTTTAATGGATGAAGCAAACGGCGTTACATACATTGTAACACATAAATGCCCTTAATACTAAAAAAGTAGCTACTGGGGAAACTCCAGGCTACCTCCAATCATCAAGATCACTTTTTCTATTCCGCTATTGACCATATATAACCAAAATATTCAATTATAAAATTTACTTTATACCTCGGTTGCAGAATTATGAATTTACAGATACCTGAAACAAAGAATTCTTAAATACATACTACAAATGTTTGAATACAAAATTAAAGAGATCTTAAAATAATTATCATTAACCTGTAAGATCTATAATGCAGAGGTCAAAATACGTTTTGAAAATAGCATCAGTTATAAAACCGGCATGCATCATATGAGGTTTTTAAAATTGCGTCCTAGTGATAAATAATGTCAATTGGATTTTGTGTCGCATTGTTTCTATTTCATGGTACATAAAACAATTACTTCCAAATGCTAGTAAAATATGCAAAATTTAAAAACAAAATCAGCTTAACTTACTTGTACTGAAACTAAGAAAATAGTTGTAAAAAATGAAAAAAAAATCCCTGCAGCCTTTTTCCAAAGAATTGTTTACTTTTCCCTCTGAAGGAATCCGTTACTCTAATCTAAACTTCAATGTAAAGATGACAGGTCAATGAAAACTGGCAAACCATATGAAAATAAAGAATTCTTTTCTCAACAGAATACTCGTTTTCTTTGTGAAAATTAGTTTTTAAAAACCATTTAAGTCTAGTTACTGAAGGTTTTATCATCAACCATTTTCGTTTCATTTACCTACTAAGCCTTGCTCGTTAAAAGTCATCATTTCTACTAGGTCTTTGATTTCTACACTATTAACTAGGCTAAAACGGGCATTTTCTTCCCTTCTTTGATATGACTTAAGATAAATTTTATTGTTCTTTATTCATCAACCTCTTCTAACTACTTTACAGTTCCTACGTTTGTAATTTCATAGTTTTATTTCCGTTTCTCATGGTACAATAGTTGCTTCGCTACCAGTAATTATATATTTGATGGTGAGGATACTTTTATTTCAAATTATTTCATGGTTTTCACCTCGATTCAGACCCGTTTTAGGGAAAACTTTCTTGGTTAAGACAGACGTTTCTTCGAATTAATTTGGTTGGGTGCAACCACGTAAATGATAAGAAAATATCAAATGTATGGCGTAGTCTACAATACTATTAAGGATAGCTAGCGTAGCGTGTATGCTTAAGCTTGTTAATCGTATGGAAATTACGTTTAATTTCTTTTCTCCGGCTACAACCTTTGTGAAAAACAAAGCTTAGGCTTTTGTGCTTAAATCAGTTTTGAAAGCCCACAAACTCGCCCTCAGACCTAGCATAGTTAATCATTGTTATTCTTTACTAGTATTTACTGTTAGTGAAAATTAATGCAGTTATGTCTTACTGAGTGTATAAATAAAGCTACTTGCTCAGACCGTGTGTTGTCTGTGGGAGGGAAACAAATTAAGAACAAGTAAAGTAAAAGGAAAACTAATGCACCCACTCTACACAAGGCTTTCTTTTCAAACGTCATTAATATAATATTTTATCCCAAAGATATATCTTACCTTTTTCTTAAGTAGAAATAAAGTAGCATTTTCTAAGTGAAGTGATCTATAAATATTTCATACATTTCTTGCATGGTGGAAAATGGTAATAGTTAGCTCGAAAGATATTGCCTCAAGGCATAAAAAAGATATTAGTTTTGGGATAGTTGGAGGGAAAGCAATCTAGTCAGTCTTGATTCGTATGTGGTATGGTGTAATTATTGAAACTGAAAAAAGATTAATTAATGATAGTCTTCAAGAACAGTCTAAAAACATTAGGATATTACACTTCTTGTGAGATCTAGCTGTGGTGCTACCATTAATTTTCATTAATTGTTACCTTTTTTGGAGGAAGTCCTTAACCAGGCACTTTTTTTCTCGTGTAGATGATGCCCACACAGGTTCTAATAACTTATAAACCTTACACTCTGAGATAGCGAATAACATGCATAAATAAAGCAAAAAATATTATTATACATTTGTACGAGCTAGAATAAGTGAAAAGGTGTAACTTATCAAATTCAGAGATGATGTTTGCGTGGCAGATAGTTTTCAAGTCACCGAACGAGGTAAACGTGCATACAAGTTAAAGCCTATTAAAATTACAAAAGGATGGACAATTTCAAAAATACTTGAATAGCAAATCATTGTGAGAGCAATTTATTGTACTCAATCGTGACGTCGTCACTGATCCCTTTGCTACGAAATTTTAAATGTAAAAAGTCTTCTTGACAAATTTTGAAGAAGTACGTTTATAGAACCTTTAAAAATCTTGAGCAAATAATCTGTTTTGTACAAAACAAAAATTGTAACGAATGTAACATCTAAAGCCAATTAGCATGTTGTGCGTGTGAAATTACATTGATATAGTTTGGGTCATCAGGTCTCAGGTGTAACTGGTAAAAATGGTACAAATTGCAAGTGTTCTGATATGCTTTAAAGTTTGAAGCCTAATTAGAACAGTATCTTTTTTTCCCAGCAGCACACGATTGTCACTTTCTGCCACGCGAACAAGCAACCCTTAAATTGTATGAATTGATATTTCTCAAACTGATTTTATCATCTTCTAAAACTAAATGTTTCCAAAATTAAACTCATTTCATATATTATTTGAAGTAAATATAAAATCTATAAAAAAGTTCTGCCCTTTTGAACAAAAGATAAAAGATAATAGCTTTATCCTCTCGAAACAAAGTAGAATGATTTCTCCGTTTCAATTTATCACTGTGTTATTCATTATCCAACATCGATAGTACGGTTTAAAAAACCAATCATTATTTCTCATCACAATTGTGTTGTTTTGAAATAACGGAAACAAAAAATATACAGGCTATTTAATCCATTTCAATCCGATTGTCGTGATGTCTTGGTTTTGCACTCCGGCTCAGTGAAGAATTTGCATACTGCCCCCCATCCTCCCCACCCCGCCCCTTCTTTATTTGACTTAGAAGTATTTTTTTTTTTGTTTGTTTGTTCGTTTTTAACAGTAGTCCTGCCCATATCTAAAACTATTTCAACAATGGTAATTCTCCCATGAGTCATTACTAAACATTCTACAAAATTAAACTCCAGAAAAAAAATTCCCTCTTCGCACCAAGGCATAATCTTTGCGTAAGTTTACAACTTATCTTTCTTCGCTGAAATTTAATTTTGTTTTTCAGCTGGTATTTACAATTCTATTAGCAATAATATTTTAATTTCATGTAGTTATAACTCGTTAAATAAAATAACTCTACTCGTTCAAAGTATGCAATTTTCTCTTCGGTTAAAAAATTAAAATTTAGTACTCGATAAAAGTGTTAAACTACTAAAATGGAAAAGGAAACCTCCCGCACATTCCGAAATATTCTTGAAAAATTCTTCACTTTCAAATTGAAGTTAATTGTGAAATTTAAACACATAAACTGAGAGTCCACTCGGCGTTTTGGAGTGAATTTCTACCAAGCAAAATGCTTCCTTCGTAAACGACAACCTCGATTACCTGACACCAATTCTATTATATACTTTCCTCTCACTAACTCAACTCCAATTAACATTTACATCATAGACCACACAGTAGTGAAGAAGTAAGAGAGAAAGGAAAGACAAAGCATACCTGAGTTTACTAATCACAACAATTTGATTAAGCAGATTTTTTCATCCAATTCAAGATGGTATTTGCTCTCTAACTGGATAAAGAAATTCTTATCAACTTGGAATCGAGTTGATATTTACTTGAATTAACTATATTTCTTTACCACCTAAATGGAACGGTTCTTGGTCGGTCAGCGCCTTCCTTGACCAGAGGCTTGTGAAATTCCCGTCCTTGCCTGGAGTGTATGAGTGCCCAGCACTGTTCGCAATAGTACTGCAGGCACGTGACATTTGCGCAAAAAAATGGTGCAAATTTACCTGCGCACCGGGCGCCATGACACTCGTCACACAACTGATCATCCAAAACATATGGCTTGACTTCAACCTGGAAAGTGATATGAAACTGTGTTATTGATAAGAAAGGCTATTGCACATTCTAATGGAGTAAAATAAAAAATGGGACTAAAGCTATTTTTATTAAAAAACCCACAACTATCAACACAGCTAACTAAGATATCTTCAAAAGAGTTATAATATTAATATATATAATATTAGAGGGGTTTGAGAAATAAGGTATTCCAAGACTTTTTTGCTCAGGTATACGGTATTCTCTCATGATAGTGATTTGTCTTTTTATCACAGGTAGTAATTCGGCATTTAGTGGATGACCAGAAACTAATAATAGTTATTCCCGAATGAAAAACAGTTGGGTGTTAACACTTATTCAAGTGGGCAAAGTAGTTTTTCCGACCTCCGCTATTGGGAACGGTGGTATAAGGAAATGTAATATCAGTAGTGAAAATAGGTTTGTCTTGGCCCAAAATCGCGAAAAATTGACTAACATGACATGACTAACAATGTCAGTCGAAAGGCTTACTCTTTTATCTATGTCGCCATGTTGCAGCTGCACAAATCTGGCACTGATAGCGGCAATATAACTTTGTTGATTGGAGAAGGCCACTCGACCAGCACCTTAAATGTAAAGCAAAATGTAATATGTCAAAAGCTGAACAGCAGCTCCTTATCTGTTGCCGTTGCAATTTGTTCGATATTCGTAATTTTGCATATGCACGCTTTGTAAAATTGCTCTATTGTCTTCGCTATTTTTTTTCGTTTTGCATGTAATCCTTTTCCTAAATGTCGTTTTACTTACCCAGTTAGCTGATTCGAATTTGAAAAAATCTTTCTTCGAGTTTATGCAACTTTTCATTACTGAAACGTAACAACTGCGTTAAGCTAAATAACTCTTACCCTTAGGATATTTCAGTTCAGGATCTACATCTATCCCAGCATAACAGACTCCTCCATACAGCCGATCCATTATCATGGCCAGCTCTAATGCTCTCAATGGGCGAGGCACTCCACCGACAAAAATTGTTTTCCTTGGGTCAAGTGGATGTGAACCGTCCATGACAAAATCTGAATCATTCAGATTCCAAGGTCTTATCTGAACCTGTAGTTTCAAACGAAATGAGTTTTTTTCATACATTCACAATTTTTTCTTGAAGGGGGAAGGGGGAAGGGGGAAAGAAATTAATTTTAAATCACATCCGCTATATTAATTTAACATAGGTCTTTGTAGGCTCTAGGCAACTAGGTTAATCAGAATTGAAAAAAATTTATAACATCGTACTAACCGATCATAAGGGCCGTACAGGGGAAGATTTGCCGGAGGTCGTAGGAGTACGGACTGAGCGCAGCGACGTCCGTTCAAAAGCGACCTTGGGCCAATATTCTCCAGTACAGCTGAAGCAAGTTACGTCAGTAAGTAGTTTCATATGTGGCACCCGGACCTAACCTGTTTAGTTTGAATTTGCCGGCTATCGCGACCAAAAATACATGGCTTATGGCCGTTTCTGTGGAAACGGTCAGCATAACATAATACGGAGTAAGAACCAATAAGGATGTTCGGAAATAACTCAAGACACATTGCTAAAAAATAAAATGTTGAATTCCAAATTAAGAGTTCTCCTGTCTTCCATCCGAGTTAGAATAATGATAGGGACACAAAGAAAAGGAACTCACGGGTTTGTCTTTAATAGTAGGACTGGACACACACAGGTAGAGTTTGTCATCTTGCTGGAAGCAGGCGTCGATTAGTTTCTGCACCGATTGCTCCTCCAGGTACAGCAGAAATGCATAACCTGTGGAAGAAATGGATTTTATTATAAAAATTGACGTTAAAAAGCGCGACGTTTCTTATCCCGAAACTTTTTTAGAGAATACCATCAGACATTTTATTGGAATGAAAGTCACTGTACTAAACAACAAGTATGCGATGAACACGATGCTCCTATCAGAGTTGTCCTACCGTTCAAAGACCAGAAAGCAGCAAATGCGGTAAGACACCAACTCGGTGATCTCAGCCGAAAGATTGTTGCCGATGTCCAGCCCGTTTACACAAGTCAGGAGATCAAGGACGATTGCAGCCGAAAGAACACAAAAACCTCCAATTGTTAATCAACAAAACTTTGTTTATTATTATAAGTGCGGTCTGTGTGATGCAAAAAAGTATTTACCTAATCGATTCACTTTTAATGTTTCTTTCGCCTTAGCGTTTTTCATCACTCTTGCCGCAGTTTTCGTCAGTATCTCATTAGCATTTTTACAATTAATTATAGAAAATGATAAAATTCTTTATCCTTCAACTTGAAAATGACTGTTGAGCCGTCGAAACGTCGTTCCTTTTTCATATGGAAGAAATGTTTTGATATAGGCGTTATGGTAATTTAAAAGAACCTTCAACATTACAGCGCGAAGTCGTGAAGTAGGAATAAAAGTAGTGCGTTAGAGTTGTCGTGTGTTCTTATTGGAAAGGCCTGAATTCAAAAAGAAGTTCAACTAATAAGCTTACCTTTGGGAGGAAAGTATGACTTGCTCTCTGCTTTGTGAGGCCAATCTACAGTCAAACTACCAAACCGACAGAAACTGGCGTGAATCTCATCTATAAAATAATGCATAAGACTTGCAGCTGAAGCTAATCAAAATGTCTCTACTGACCAAGTATCTGGACACTACTAAATCTCGGCCCTTTTAGGTTAATGAGAGTTTCCAGGTAGCAGTGCTACTTTTATCGAAGTTAAGCCAAGTCGCCCTTAAGAAGCCCTTCTTTCATTTACTGACGCAACTCTCAAGGGGCAGAGGTGCCCCAAATTCCAAAGACTATTTGCTAGTTTAGTATCTTCAACTAAAGCCATGACGAGTACTGACATATTCAGAAACGGGTTTCCTATAGCATTTGTATCTTGTTTTACCAAGTGGCCGTAAATATTGGAACAAGTTTTAAAGTTCTTCTTCATCCATTGACTTTTATCCGTTGAAATACTTCCTACTGCTGAAATGATAATTTGTACTATGAATGAGAATATTTTTTTAACAGAATACGCGTTGGTTCATGGACTTGACTTGTTCAGTTGGACCCTTTTGAAACGATGAAGAAATAGATGAAAGAACGCTCTACCTGAAGTAAAGTGACGGGTTTCGATTGAATCAATTTTTCTTACTGAACATTTTATATAAAATACGACTAAATGATCTCGACAATTTAGTTATCAAGGCCTCAGTCTGAGAGTATCCCTTAACGACCTTACTCTAGTTAATGAGTAGTTAATAGCCTGTGCACAAGCATAAAATGTTTTCATACCTTCATCAATGTCTGGAGGCAGTCCTCCAACAAATACTTTCCTCGAGTAACGCTCGATATGATCCGGCAAATCCGATGTTGGAGAGCAACTAAGAGACCATATTGATGGTACAATTTGATCTATGAGCAAAAATAAATAAATTTCCCGTACACTTGTTAATAAAATATAAATCTTGAAAAAGGTTAGTTGCAGAAATTTACCCCGGGTAAGGAAGCCCTGTAGGGTTTTTGCTCAATGTTGGGGCGCGCGCCTGCGTAATGTTTTTCTAGGAAATGTTTATGTTTTTGCTTTTCAAGGTCACTAAAAGCCATCAAAAGGCGATGAGCAAGGTTCGGACTATTGTTTGCTGTTGTAAATATTATCAAACTGATTTTCGTTATTAAGCTAAGGCTCCACGGAGGGAAGCGCTCGTCGCTGATAATTTGGCCTTGCCCCTGATTTTCTTCTATCTTTCAAAATTTTTACAATTTGTGAAATTTGTTCTGCCGATCATTTAAAAGCCGAAAAAAATAGGGGTTTCAGAGGAAGTTTCCTCGCTATTTGCAATTTTGTAGGTTCCTCCTCTATCTCAAATTTGGTCATGAATTTCTTTTTATCAACAAGCAAACAGTTCAGCAAATCTTAAGAAATTCCATCGAAGGAAACGCGATAAATCTTGCTCGAAAGACTCCTATTTTCTTTGTCGCATAACTTTGCGTCATGGAATAAAAGTTCGCCAAGATCTATATCTGAGCATGCGTAAACTTTTGGCAATCTTTCCCACGGTGTTTTCTTTTCAGTTGACTTCTTTTGTACAGGGCCTATGAACATTACGGGTGCAGTTGCTGGAAACTCTAGATTCCATCACACAAAAACTGTGTGGAGTGAAACTGTTTTTAACTCACCTTTTCAGGTAACAATCGTGCGATCGTATCGAGCCGCCATGTTTGTTTTGCATGGTGACACTCGGGCTATGTTCGCACCCAGATCTCGCGCGGTTAAAAAACCCTATGGAGCCTCCTATGCTTAACACATGTTATAAATGTTTCTATCCCACGAAGGCGGATTTCGCAGTAATGAACATTACCTAGGCAGCAGTGAAAATAAGGCCCGAAGAAAAAATCAGGCCTGTACGGGATTTGAACCCCTGACCTCTGCGATACCGGTGCAGCACTCTACCAAATAAGCCAATAAGCCAACTAGGAACTGGTCCTTGTGTTGGTTCCATGACATTGTTCATTATGGTGTTGGTAGAGCTAACATTTTTTAATATCATTTTTTTTTCACAATGTTATCCCGTTAGTTCTACGCAATTCAAAAACTGCGTAAAATTAACGGCATTGTTACAAGCTCAGAATAACTGAAATCAAGCTTGTTAAGCCATGTCATTATCATGTTGTCACTTTTCGTTCCCATGTAAGTTATATATCTCAGATTTCTGAGATACATAACTTACTTGATAACAGATGAAATTTTTTTCAATTCAGTTTTGGAGAAATTTGGTCGCCTTATCCTCTTTTCAAGGCGACATAATTTGAAACTAACAGGCGTACTTTTAGTTAAATTGCATATTTGCAATTTTTTTCAATCATTGCAGCAGGATAATATCTATTTTTTCAAGAATTGTTACAGTAGATATTTGGAAGAGAAAAAGCTTCTTTTTTATTATTTAAGTATATTTCCAAAATTTTTTCATCATATCGGGACTATACAGTCTGACGAAACATGGGCTGCCGTGAACGCAGGTTAACCAATTAGATGATGCTTACTGTGTACGGTTAAATTACAAAATAAAATCGTTTAATTATTTACCTCCTGCGTGAGAAATTCCTTTCTTTTGCAGATGATACTTGAAGGCTGAAATGCAGAAAAGATAGAAGATCTCGTTAGTATTCACATGGCCATGCTTAAGAAAGGCCACCATGTGCTCTAATAATGCCCAAATTGTCGATATAATGCCTAAAATGCAAAGTTGCTAAAACGTTTTGAAACGTTTCCTTTGAGATTTTCAAGTAGTTTATGTTTATTTTTTATGAAAGAACTAGCCAAATTTCAAGCTGGCGCCGAACTTTGTCAACGTATTTTTTTTGGAAACTTTGCAAAGAGCTGTGGTAGATTGCAGTTAAGAAAAAAACAAACAGGAATCATTGACCTCGTTCTTGTTTTAAGGACGCATTATGCAAAAAGTAAGAGCGTTTACAAGAGCCTGTAATGTTACTCTGGTGAACGTACTTGTTTGAAAATTGATGAATACGTGTTGATAAACAATCGAGAATTTTTATGCAAACTCAAGGGAAGCAAATGTGGAAGCTGCTAACCATCATTTCGAACCAATTTGATTCAACTGAGCGGAAGTCGCTCTTTGCAATCAGAAGATGCCCCCGTTCACCTACTCATTTACCGATTCACCGATTCGAGCTTAGGGTCAAACTGTAAACTGTATTCATTTAACAAAACTTGTCACATATATATGGATGAGATAATCATTTTTTGTGTTCTGATTGGACCAATCAGTTACAGTTATCAGCTCATATACCGAGCCATCCTAAAATGGAAAATAGTCAAATCAAGCGTTGTTAAGCTGAATCACATTTTAGGCGGAAGCAAACGCTTCTCCTGAGCGGTGGAAATTAAGTAAAACAAATGCTAGTCAATGTTATCACGGTAACAAAAAGAAAATCAAAAGAGTCTGATAAAGCTCTATTTGATAGTAGGTATAGTTGAAGTTTCAGTAATAAAACGTTGCACCTGGCACTAGTGTTATCTAGTCTACAAAAAGATAGAGCACAACAAAGAGAACAGCCGGTTACCTCCAAAACTTTGGGATAACTTACAAACTTTGCCTTAAAATATCTAAGCTAGACCAGGACCTTTATTTACATCAGCTTATCTGTAAACTACGTTCATGCAGTCATGACTTTGGTTTTTTTCCCTTGGCTACCACATAGCAAAACATTTGTGAATTAACACAATGCTTCAGAATAAGCTTGAAGTTCTACAAAGTGAACCGAATACTAATCTCAATCTGTAACTTGTTACTCCTACACTTGGATCGAGACCCAGAGTTGAAGACATTTAAACGAAAACTGTCTTCAATCTCTTCCTTCGCTCGGTTCCACAAACCAAAACAGTTGTCGAACCCAGACAGTTTTGAATGCTTTTGCGGAAGTGTTCTAGCTCGTACCCTTGAACTTTTTTCGGATTAAAAATTTCTTCATTTCACTTAGCTATTCAGGTCCGGCTGGGTAAACTGCTTTTAGCGTTGGATTTTGTTTAGCTCCGGTCCTAAAGTATTACACATTTCATGTGATTATTTTGCCGCTTTGGCGGTCGGATGCAACATCGACTTACGGAAATTTTAATTTGAAAAAAACTTTGAGAGTGAAAACAAATTTAATAAAACTGAATCATTCCATTCCCGCTTGTTGGATACGATATTGACTCATATCCCAAGCGTGCTGGCGTTATCAAAAACTATCCATTTTCCTTAAAAATGATTGTTACAGTACTGTAGTGTCTCAACTTGACATAAGAAATTATGTCTGATAATCAAGAATCAACGTCTCAACGTTAATGTTTACAGAAAAGCACCCATGGCCTCCTGTTGAATTAAAACTGAAATGTTTCGGAATACACTGTGCAGAATACTTCAGTCTCCGTCGTCGTTGATCGTCATCGTCATCGTGAGTGAATTGCACCCGCCTGTCGAGTTTTTTTTTCTTTTCAGAAACGTTTTCTTATCCGTAAAGCAATCAACTCAATAACCAAGAGGAACGTTCTTTAGGTAAAATCTAAAATCTCCAACTTCGGCCTTGTTACAGTGATCTTTCACGGTGATTACGGCCCCGGTTCAAGATTTCCCGTAACGACCTTCCTCTATGTTATTATGTAGTTAATGTCGTTAATATTTGACGATTTATTGATGATGGCATATATCGAGGCGCACACTATGAACTTTTGCTTTCTTCACAAGAGGTGTAATCAGAAAAACGAAATGATGATTACTATATCTGACTTCTTGGACGTAATCCACAAAATCAACTTATGGCATCATTCCATCTTTCAACGCTCGTTTACTATGTTTCTCGTTCTGCGCCCACAGTTTACGTTTGTTATTCTTAATTACAAAGCCTCTTAAAATCGTTTTTATTTTTAATAGACCGTAAGCTCATTTAAGAACCAAATTGCACTAAATATGTGACAGTTTGGGAAACAATCTAAGGTCATAACGCTAGCGATTACAAAATCGATTGTTCATTCACAAGTAAGAGTCACCGCTTTTAGTTACTTCTTTGTGGCAATGATTTCATGCAAGAAATTTGTAGGCATAATCTCAATTAAATTTAATTAACATTAAAGTTAACGGAGATTATGCCCACGAATTTCTTGCATGAAATCATTTCCACATTTTTTCCGTTTTCTGCAAAAATATCTTTCTTGGAGACATTACATTCATCACAAGATGATTGGCACATATCCTGGCCTTAATCTGGTCAATTTAGACACCAGATTTGAGACTAGTGAACATGGTTTGTTTTAACTTAATGAATTGCTTAAAGTCTTTATTACTAGCGGCAAAATTTAAGTACAACGTTACCCTTTCATCAGACAGATATTTTAACTTTTCTTCATAAATAATGCTCTCGATTTCAAAAGAGTAGGGCAATCGCTCCTTATGAAGAAGTGGAATGTATTTTAAGTAGGACGCAGGCTTTTGGAACAGAGCAGTCTAAACACATTTATGAACGCCAGTAGTATCCTCCCGAAATTAAAATTAAAAATGATTATGATGTATCATAATTTCTCAGCTTAGTTGGTTTATGAAGAAACGCATGAAAGAGAAGGTTTTTTGCCACACAAGTGCACATGTCTGTGAAATAAAGTGCAAACAAACGTTGAAGAGCAACTTCGCAGAGCAGCAATTCAGTTTGACTTGGTTGGAAGTCAAAGGAAAGTGTTGAAATAAATTTGCATCGAGTATCGTGCTGACTTAAAAACTTGTTAACGAGTCTCAATTCTCAATACAAATGAGCATTTTTGGTCGTTTTTAGCCAGACGTTACTAAGGTTGTCTGAAATGGCCAAGGGGTCTCTAAGGATATTCACCTAGAAATCTCATTAGACAACTCCGCAAATCGATGTCTCCAAAAGCTTGGCATCTTCTGAGAGACGTTGTTTGACATAATCGCCAAATGTGCTTCCTTAGCTGCCAAAGATTTGCCTTTCTTTCTCGTAACCAATCAGATAGAGAAATTTTAATGGAGAGTAATTTTGACCTATTGTTACTGAAAATCCATACAGCTGTTATCCATGTTATATTCTAAACTCAGCTTGTGGCCCTATATAAAGGTCCTTTTTGCCAAACGTATGAGAGGAAATGTTGATAATTATTTCAGAATAATATCCTATCAAGAAAATGCACTTCAAAGCGAAGAAGAGCTTTAATAAAACATCACGTCAGAACTACTTTTCGCTATTAAAATTGGTTTTCTCGTTTTGAATATTAATATAAAACCGCGTGCAGCTGAGAGATTTAATTGTGTTTTCAGTTTACTGTAGTAAAGTTTTAGTTAAAAATTCTGATATGTATTCTCGATTTGAACTCTAAATTTCAATTTAAATAAGGACAATTCCCTTTAAAAGATCGAGAGTTCGTTCGTCTCTTCTCTTCAATGGTATCGTCAGCTTTATATCGGTAACTTTGCTCGGTGCTTTACCTAACGTCTGCTACAGTTTTTTAGCTGAAAGCTTAAAAGGGAAAAAGAACGGAAGGAAGGTAGACTTGAATAAATTATCAATAAAATTTGTCCCTCCCGAGCTTTCCTTTCTCGTTGAGGGTTTTCCTTGTATTTCTTTTAGTTTATGATCAAAATTTTCGGTGGAATATTTTCTTTTCGTCAAAAAACATCACCAGTCATTATAACGTCAGCTTTATAGATGCGATCTTACTAACTATGAGATGCCGTATAAATCTGCATTTTACTGCTTTTTTCTCAGAAACCTCGCTTCCTCTGTTTTAGATGATTAATGGATTTTGTTCCTATTCTCACACTCATAGAGAAGAATTGAAATACGGAAGAAATTTAGTTACTGGGTCTGTTTGTACCTCAGGGACGAAGCTGCGTTGGCGTTTCTTGCGTAAGCCCTCTTCATTGATCTTATACTTTCGCAGTTTTTCGTCATATAAGAAAAACCTTTTTCACTTGTTTGGCGTAAGACAGACGTTTCCTTCGAGCTCCCATTTTTGTGTTTTCTTTTGACCAACTTTAAGTGTTTGATCAGTCACGAGCCGTAAAAGTGAGACTTGAGCGACACTAAATAGAAATCAAATTACGTTTATTTTCCTTAAAGAAAAGAAATATGTTTGGTAGTGAGACCCAACTGTTGTGATTTTGATTTTGTCTCAGGGGACTAGAGGAAGCTTCACTATAAGTTGTAAAAGCGGTGATATTGTGCTTTTTCTCCCTTTCAGGACTAACAGTAATTTCACAAATTTTGTTCGCGTTAAAAGGTTATTCAACCAAATGAGACCGCTGGGAGTCTGATTTTGTAGATGAGTTTGTAGAACTATGGTTTTACAAAGATTGCTAAAGAAGCAAACGCAACAAATTTAAACAGAGGATTATCTGAAGTAGCTGATTATCGTTTTTCAACGGACGGAACGGCGTGGAGACAATATGAAAAACATTCAACAATATTTTCATGACTTGGATGATTTTTAACTTTCCATTCTATGTAAGGCAAAGAAAGGGACATTTTTGTGATCCTTCGAATGAATATTCTGATCTAAATGAAATGATTATGGCCTTCGCCATCTCTGACGTTTCATCTTTTTGACCGTCGCGCACACTTCAACTCGAAGGATAGATTTAAATGTCGTTTCCCGTAATAAAGCAGTCGGCGACCATGCACCCTCATGCAGTCCATCTTTAATTTTTCGTTATTCTTTCCTTTAACAGTCAACGACGACAATTCGTTAGAATACGACATGAAACAATTTTTCTTTAAATGATACGAGAAGTGACTTTGAGACAATTAAATAGTAAGGATAATTTTATGGCTTCCTTCCTTTGCAATTTTACCAGTGGTACTTCATCAGCATCCACAGTGTAGCATCCTAGACATTCATATGACTTAGGAAACAAGCGTACTCTAATTATTTTCTTTTTTATTTAAATTTGAGAAAGGAGTATTTCCAAACTGTAGTTTGTAGTTTTCTTCCAAATGTATCTGTCGAGTCCTCTTCCCACGATTTACGCCGCCACGCATTTACCGCCATTTTTTAGGTTTATCTTAACTAAAACTAAAAAAGCTGACTGTCAACAACACTAACCCATCAATTTTTTGCTTTAAAGAAAGTCTTTTATAGATATAGAACATCTAATTTCCCAAAAAGAAAGGGGAAGCAGCGAAGATATAATAGAAACGTCAAATATTCTTGTTTCTGGCCATTTTGAAAACCCATTAAAAATTAAAAGAACCATGGCGGAAAGTGCAGGTGCCGTGCGCCAGAAATTAGTAGGGAATGAAAGTTTTCATATTCTTACTTTACCGCAGTCTAATAGGGATTTCCAGCGAGATGCGAACGTGAGTGAAGGTTCTATCGCGATACGCACTCATTATTAACCAGATGAACTCTCAGGAAGAGAAATTTCCCCTAAAGACTGGCTAAATCTGTAACATGTGTTAAAAGCAATGTACGTTTGCGCACAACCTAATTTCACAAAACAAAATGTTATGCCGGTAAATGAGCGTGGCAAAATTTGATAAAATTGTATGTTCCTGTTGCTTTGGCTCTTATTGAACAAGGTATTTTATTCATGCTTCTTCTTCCTTGTGCCTTCAGACATGTAAAGGGATTTTGCGTCGTAAGAAAAGATCATACTAACCGCTTAAGTTATCTGGAGGATCCGAAGGAGAACGAATTATATCAAGTAAACGGGTCTCCAAAGATGGAAATTTCATTGAATCCTGAATAGGAAAGAGAAGACAAAAGATCCATTAGTGATGAGAGTTTAAGATCCACAAAGGTTTAAAAAACATTTCCCTAAATTTCCACTTTTATTACGACTTTACATCATAATTTCGAAGCAGCTGTACCTTTAAGCCAACTTTTTCCCTCATTAATTTATGTATGTTTTGGTGAAAGGACGGAGAAAACATTATTGATTCTAGCGAATCCATATTTCTCATTTTTTATTTCGCTCGTCGTCTCCTAACGATTTCATGGAAAATACCGTGTGGCTTTAAATAGACATCTCTTATCTAATATAAAAGGATTCTTTATTACGGTTTCTAACTGTATTCGTGTGAACGTAACGTTGTACTCTTCTTAATTTCGGTTCAAAAAATAATCTGCATTGGAAGGGAGAATCACCCAACGTACGGTATCTTTTTATGTGCCTACTTGTTCTTTTGTATATGATGTTTCCTTCAAAATATGTTTTATAATTTCTATGATTTTACCTGATACGAGTAAAGGGAGTTTGAAAGCTCGTTGTTTTGGCCATGTGAATTTCCAAGGCTAGGGATATCATCCAAAATCGTACCGTCCACGGGTTGCCGATTCAGACTCAAACTTTGTAATCCCTGCGTTATGCTCTGTGTTGAGATGGTCGATCTTGAAACAGGAGGAAACGTAGGGTTTAGACGATGATGATTTCGCATTCGCGAAGAGCTTGGAAGTGTTAACGAAGAAGGCCTAGAATTTCTTCCATGTGGGAAATTTATGGCGTTCAGTGTGTGGTTTGAAGGCCGACTTCCCCACGAGTTTTGTTGTTGTGAAGGCCAGCCTGAAATGGATGGCGGGGTCTGTTGATTCCATCCCCCTAAACTTGTTATAGTAGGCATTGATTTGTTTTGCGTTATAAACGCCGAGTTATGAGGAATCGGTCTTCTTGGCTGATGGTTCATTGTTGCCGTCATATTCGTCGGCCCATTTAATCTTCGTGGCTGGGTTATAACCGGAGTGTTGGAGGGTAAATGAATGCCGTTTACTGGCTGTGGAATTGCGCCGGGTTGTACAAATACATCCTCTACGGTGGCTGGCGACCAAAACGTGGTCGATGCTGCAAAATCGTGAAACATGGAGTTCTCTGAATCTCTCGTGAAATTAAGTTTTGTTTGCTCCAAAGGTGTATTTCCCTGCGTTGAATTTACCTTAGATTTTGGCGAGTCGTCTAAACAGTCTTCGCATGAACCGTTTTTAATATTTTTGTTTTCCGAATGTTCCTCCTTTAGATTTCCAGGGAAAAAAAGCGACGTCGCTCGCGAGTCGCTGTGACTGTAGTCAACTGGTGAAAGTGATCTTGTTGTGTGGCCAAAATCGGCCATATCCCAGAATTGTAGAACTAAGGCGAAATAGTGCCTTAGTGGATTACGTATACAGCAGGTGCTATTGTGTTCACCGCGCCACGTCGTTCCTTTTTCTGTCAAGTTGAACAGGATGCGAGTCAGATGAATGGTTCCGCGGTCAGTATCACGTGGTTCTACCTGCTTATGGGAAAATTAATAATGATCATATGAAATCAGATTCGACGATCGGACGCGCATTTCTAATGTGTTTTCGACAACGGTGGTGTTTGATTTGACCTAAGGAGGAAAATACGATTTTCTGCCCTTATGAAAGAATATTGAATGCGACTGGCGCTTTTAAAGGCCTCGGGGTGGCTTGAGAAACAACATCCTGAAAAAAGGCCGAAATGCTAGCGGAAGATGCCTCGCCAGTGTAAACAACTAAATGCGTAAATACGATTGCGAGGTTTTTAGGCTAAGGATACAGTCGCTTTTCATGAGCGCGCGAGAGAGAGTCAATAGATTAAAGCGATTGCAATTAATAATTTTCCTTTTTTCGGAGTTTTGCACGTGGTCAAGATGGCTATGGACGCCTTTTTAAATAGTAATAATTATCACAAAAGATATGACTCGTGCCCCTATATGTTTGTACAAGGCAGGTATAGAAGGGTATTGTTCATGGGGTTGTCAAAGTTGTGGTTGCCGGGCTCTACCCTTTTAAAAAATCACAATTTAAAGTTTACGAACAATTCATAATGGCTGAACTTAAGTCAGCTCAACCTATTGATTTCCTGACAAAAACCTTTCAACACAAAAGGGAATTTTCCTAGTTAGTAGGCCTCCTTTCATTGCATAGATAATATAGAAAACAGTTTATTCTGATTGGCAGACGATTTCTAAGAAAAGATTTAATCTTTGATCTGATTGGTAGAGGGCGTCTTGTCCTATTGTCTATCAAAACTTCCAGCTGCTACTGCCGTGCTATTGTCGTGTAAACAGATTTTCAGTTGAAAGAAATTTTGCTCTCGCTAGGTAAAACATGTGTGAAATTGAAGCCATTTCTATGTGCATTTCTCCCACTACTGTGTCTAGGAAATCTCCAGTTGAAATGCACACTCTGACGCCGTCAATGTTAGGTTTAGTAAATCATGCTTCTAGACTTTCGCACCCTATCCATCTTGTGCTCTGATATAAAAGCGACACGGCTGCATATCTGCATCACAGAAGTTTGCTTTAATTGATATCTTAGCGAAATAGGCAAAATTCTTTTTTGCCTTTCGATATGTTTTCGTGCGTAGGTGAGGTCGGAAGTGATTGAAAACCGGAAGTTTCTTCGACTTACTTTTGCCCATAACCCAACAGGGTCACTCGACGCCATCTTGAACGTTTGCAAAGCCTTACCGCTCGCTTACTTTGTCAACAATTTGCTATAATTTTTGTGAAATCAGTGGAATAATTCTGGACTGCATCTTGATGGCTTCTGCTTTGGTTGATGATTGGGATATAAGGTAGGTTAATAAGCCATAAAACTTCTCCAACAGGCCTTTGCCTTCGATCCCTAATCTAAGTTGCCAGCTTATTAGAGCGGCTAGAGAGCGAAGGAAGGTTATCTTATACACATAGTTGCGGAGGTCCATCTGTTGTCAGTAGCACCAGTGCTGGCGAAAGTATAAGGTCAGTATCCCCAAGTGCTACATCTTTGGATCCTCCGATCTGCTGCACTAAGCACTAACTCTAGAGAACTTTAAACAACACGCGTTCAAACAAGGAAGCGATCGGCACTCGGTCGGTTGATTTTTCGTCAAGTAATTAACTTAAAATCTCAGAACAGGGAATTTTTTATGCGGTTAATGGTAAAATTACAGCTGAAGTTGCTGTGTGCGTGATGATCGCCAAGTTTATTGTGAACTGCCTTGGTATTTGTCGTCCTCAGGCCTCAGGTTAGTAAACGTACGCATTTCTTAAGTATTGCTTTGGACGAACTTGAAGGATTTTAGTTCGACCATTGACTGGCGCTGAAATAGGACCATAGACTGCCGCTCGAATCAGTTGAACGGTTCGGTTGTCGGGACCCCCATAACTCAGATAATATAGTAACCCTTAAGCTTAGAAATTTGGTTTTGATATAGGTAAACAAGCAGAACAGATAGTTATGCTTCTTGTATTTCTTTCTCAATTTGGAACTAAAATTTGCTATAGAATAATTGAAACCCTAACAAAAGGGGAATCTAAATTATGCTAGTGACTAAAATGAGCTTTCGACTCCACAAAGAGAATATTAGATACAAAATGTCTTTTGACTTTATTTTGGAAGAATACTGAGTTGCTCGAACTACCTAAATCACATCAGTTTGCAGCCTTCAGTGCTCATAGTTTTTGGAGAATGGAAAGTAGAAAAGAAATTGAAAAGGATGAGCAAATATTGAACCTACTATCCAATCCATTCGTGAGACTTTATCTATATGTACAAAAAGGGCTTGTTGAGGATGCAAATACAGGTTTGCATACAACCCACAACCAATCAAAACAATTATGAGAGGCTGCAAATGAAAGCACTAAAAAAATGTCATGTGGTACAACCCTTAGAGAACTCAAGCTTAAAAACAAACCTGTAAAAGCATTCACATTGTCAGTGCCGCATGTTGCTCTTAACCTTGTTTACACTTAAGCTGAACACTGGTCTCAGTAAGGTTCTCTCTCAGCCACAAATTAAGTTCAGCCATCCTTGATTGTGTCCATCACTTGGTTTCACACAAACTGTGCACAACTTTTGTATATGTTGTTAAGCTAGAACTCAAGTATGGATGAAGGAATCAGATAAACAATATTCCTGGCACCCTTAAATGTTTTTTGGTAGAGAAATTGCTGTATCTTTTGCAATTATCCTTAGAGTGGACATTGAATATGAGATGCTAAGTAGCCAATGGGGCACATTCCATAGGTAGCCATAACAAATTTTGTATCCGATGGGCACAAATAGAATGGTAATTGTTTCTTCCAGCTTTAATTGTGAAGCAATGCACTTGTCTGGTGATCATTTTGCCACTTTTGGGACCAAAGTTGGTTGTTTGCTCAGTGGTTTAAGCAGACCCTTTTTTCAGTTTGAAAATTAATTTTGTAAGTTTTTACAGCAATATCAAAACTTATAGAATGTGTTAGACAGTCATTCTGTTCAGGGTAATTGAATGTAAGACTTAATGCTACTTGTTTCAGTGGCTATTCACTATCTCGTATCCTACACACTCTTGTGGAACAATTGTCAAGTCCATTTTTATGGGAATTTAAGTCCTCATCAGTGATTAAAGTCAAATCAAACCAGAGCAATGAATAATTTTTTGGACCAACACATTTGGTGTGCATGCAGTTACTTAGATGTTCATGCTACATGGAGGGGGGGGGGTGTTTACTTGACATGTGGTATTAAGTTAACTTGGCTTGAATCACAGCATTGGGCAGTTCTTTTGCAATTGAATATTTTTTAGAGAACAGAGGATACTTTTTGAGTGTTCTTGAAATATCCCAAGTGCTTTTATAATTTAAAGATGCACTTGGTGAATCTTTTATTTCTGTTATAGAAGAAATTTAGGCTTAAGCGCTTGTTTGTGAAGAAATTTTAATTACCAAACATTGATTTTCTCCTTCCATTGTCAAAAATGGAGGATAAGTTTGATAAACTTGAGTAACTTCACTCCTCTGTGTTTGAGGGCATATTCATTTTCATTTGTGTTGACCACGAGTGGATGTTACAGTGGCCGAATGGTTGTACACTTCGACCAATGTGGTTGATATTTCTGTGGAATGAATCTGATGGACAGGTTGACCATGTCATTTTTGACACTGAAACTTTCCACATTTTCTAGTAGCCTGAGCATTAAATATAATTATTGTGGTTTTTAGAAAAGATTCTCTGAATGAAATAAACATACATGTAGTTTTAAATTTCAAGTGTTTCTTTCTATTTTTGTTAGACTGTGATTAGGTATTCCCCTGATTACCTTCTTACCTTTAAAAACTTTTTTCAACCCAATTCAGTAACCTTGGAGCCTTCAAATTTTGAGGAATACATGAAGAGCTTTTTGTGAGAATGTTTAAATTCAAAAGATTAAAATTTCTTATTTAATAACCTTTATAATTTTTATCTTATAGACGTTGTTGGGTATGTTTTGCTACAGAAGAAGATGAACCCTTGTCACAGTGGGTTCGGCCCTGTCGTTGCCGTGGGACAACAAAATGGGTCCACCAGATTTGCCTTCAACGCTGGATTGATGAAAAGCAAGCAGGCAGTTCAACAACAAAAGTGTCTTGCCCACAGTGCAATGCAGAATATGTCATTGTATTTCCACCTTTAGGACCTCTGCTTCAATCTGTGGAGTTCTTAGATAAACTTATCCATAAGTTCTGCCCCATAGCTGCGGCAGGAGTCATTGTTGGGTCATTATATTGGTCTGCTGTCACTTATGGAGCAGTTACCGTTATGCAGGTTTTGGGTCATAAAGAAGGACTTGAGGTTATGGAAAAAGCTGATCCTTTGTTCTTATTTGTTGGACTTCCAACTATCCCTTTGGCACTTATACTTGGGAAAATGGTTCGTTGGGAGGATCACGTGTTAAGGTTGTGGAGACGCCATTTCAGTAAGATGTCCTTTCTTGGCCATATTCTGCCCAGTTTAGCTGCATGTGATTATGCATCACGCACTCCAGCAGAGCCCACACCATTATCTGACCCAGTGTCTCTCACCAGGCTCCTTTGTGGTGCTTTGATTCTGCCAACAATTTCCACACTTATCGGCAAAGTGTGTTATGGGTTTGTCCCTTCAAGTCTGCATCGAGCCTTACTGGTAAGTGTTAAATTACTGTGTATGAAATTTAAATTGTTCTGAAAATTTTCCCCTCAACTTTGTGTATACAGTGCACACTGTAGGACCAAAGACTTTAATTTGAATGGTTATACCTACACCTTTTCTGTTCATGCGCATAGAAGATACTTTCAGTTGTGTGAATAGGTAGACTAATTAGACAAATTATTTTTAATTTCATTAA